AAGAAAGTCAAGCGCATGACATCGGAAAAAATGCGTTTTGCATGAGTAAGAAATGTCTCCACGCCATGAGATTCTTACTCAAGAAATTCAAGAAAGTCATGTGCTTGAGAAAAAAAGCTTCACTAGGATAATTTCGATTCACGAATGTGTCTAGTTTGTGCCTTCAGTATCGCAGTGACTTTTATCTGCAGTAAAGCTCAATAGATGTTTTGGAAATCAACAGAAAATACTTTGGTTTTCGAAAGATTTTTCAGAAAACTTCACAACTAAGAGAATATTTTTTATTGATCTTACGTACAGACTCAGAGTGAACATATAAAATAGAGTATATCTTGATATTCTGAAGTAGTTTGGATGGATTTTGACCGAGTTATGAATTTATTAATATTTCATGAACTTCATGAAATATTAATAAATTCATAACTAACTAGGCGAAATAATCCACTTTTGGCTATTCAATAGCCAAAAGTGGATTATTTCGCCTAGTATAGATTTTCGCTCGGTTCTTGTATTGTGTTCTGAAAACTAACATTGTCATGAGATAAATCTACATGTGAAAAGAACATCATTTAAAGCTCTCAAAATTTATTCTCTTTCCATAAATTGATCCAATGATCCTGTCAGTAACAGCTCGTAATCATGAATTTCGTCTATATGAGAAAGATACACTCTTCCAACGATAAGAAACGACTTTTCACGGTGAGCGTACTTACATCGTTGAGATAAACATGAGATTCATTACAAAAATCGTTGGAGTAGGAATATGAATATGAACAAGATGTCCATGAATAAAAAAAATGTTCAAGGGACTCTTCATCCTTAAATGTCAAACATAAGAATTTTAATTTCGGTAATGATTGAAAAAAATTATCGGTTAACGGTGCATCAATATGTGTTATTAAATCTAAACTTAACAAATTTTGACAAATATACAATAACGGTGTAATATAGTTTATATTGCAAACATTTAAATGTGCGCGTTCAATCGAAGAATGAGCAGGTAAATTATAAAATGATAATTCTCGATCGAGTAGCCGAAATTGAAATATTTTCAATGGAGATGAGAATAATTGACCGTTCAAATGAAGTATTTCGTTTCCTCGTGAGAATAAATGTATATCAACATATGTTAATTTTGGAAATACGTGTGAAAATATTCGATTAAAGTCATTTGCCTCTATGGATAGTAACTTTAGCGATCGTATATTTTTTAATTTATCAACATCAACAATTTGAAAAAATATATCGACGTATGGCCTTATTGCCAATGAAGAAATTTGCGAAACAAATGGTACAATCATGTTCGTACAAATATCAATAAAGGTCGTTTCAGAAAAATAACTTCTACATGGACAACCATAAATTAAGTGGAAGATATGATAATCATAATTGTAAATAATCGAGTTTAAACGTGAATTTTGGTTGAATAATGAGCGAATAATGTCAACACTAGATAAATAGCGAAATATTTTAAAGAACAATTCCACTGGAAGAGATGTTAATACCGACGACATCACAGATGTTTTTAAAAATTACTTTTTTTCTCTATTCTTACGTACTCTCTTAGGTGTCAGTAACGACATACAAACATTAATCATACATTCTTCATCGTCCATAGAAAATATTTCTCTTCTCATTTTCTTCATTCTTCTCATTTTCTTCATTATGTTCGTCCACTCTCTTCCATCACTCTCCTGATTGTCTTCGACACGATGTAAATATGTGTTCCTTGCGGTGCACCACACAGATATATGGAATATTCAGTCTACAGTAGTCACGAATAAACTTAGTGGAAGAATGAATGATTAGACGATCGCGTTCACTGTAAGAAATACATAAATGATGAACGTCTATGTGCGAATAGGTTTGGTCATCATAAATAAAATATTTTCCAACACTGGAAAAAAAACAATGTATGACATAAAGATTAAATACAGAATTCAAAGAACTTTAAAGTAGAGTAAAACAGTCCCTAATAAATAACAGAGCAAAGTGTCTTGAGTCAAGAACGAATGTGTCTAGTTTGTGCCTTCAGTATCGCAGTGACTTTTATCTGCAGTAAAGCAGTAAAGCTCAATAGATGTTTTGGAAATCAACAGAAAATACTTTGGTTTTCGAAAGATTTTTCAGAAAACTTCGCAACCAAGAGAATATTTTTTATTGATCTTACGTACAAACTCAGAGTGAACATATAAAATAGAGTATATCTTGATATTCTAAGCACCATCTTTTTAAAGACTATGATTGGTCACACTATAAGTCATGACCTGACGACATGGGCTAAGAATACAGATTTTCAAACTGAACAAACTATGAAATTCATTATATTAATTTTTCCGAGGAATCAATCAAACATCACACAATTTACAGGTTAGTGTTTGTGATTTTTCTGTGACTCAAAATATTGTCTTTGCACAATCCACCGAAAAACATGGTTAAAACTTCACGATAATCTTTTCCTTCACTATAAGCACTTTTTGTACTGCAAAATCTACGGAAAAGTTTCAAATGAATTTGTTTTTCGATGAATTGTTCTTTTGCAATTGGCATCAGAGAAATTATTTTGCTAAAACTTTGATCTGTATGTTTTCGAATGTATTGCTTTGTTTAGCAAAAAAGACCTTCAATTGGATTAGTTTCGCAATGGAATTTTGGTGAGAAGATAATTTTAATGCCATATTTTGCGGCCAGTTTTTCAAGTTTTGTGACCTGTGTAAAAAAATATGAAAATGAGTAACAAAATTTTCCCTGATTCTTCCTTTCTGAACCTCACTCACTTGTTTAAAAGCATGATGCTCTGATAAAATTTGTTTCAGCTCTGGTACTTTGCATTTTTTCGGAACAGAAATATTTAATTCTTGTGCAATTTTTAGAAGTACTTTACTCTGTCCGTCATCTGAATCATAACATTCAAGAGTTCTTTTTACATTTTGTTCGTCAACATACTCAACGGTTTCAACTGGACAGCGATAGCCAGGGTTCATAGCAAAATCGTGAATACTATATTCAGTTGCCGTATGAGTTCTGGCATTGTCAACCAAAAAACAAAATCGTGATTTTTGTAATCTTCTTTAAAAGGCAGTAATTGAAAAATTCGTTCAAACTGACTCAAAATAGTGTGATTATCAAAGTATTTGTCTCCGCCGACGTTTATTGTAGCTGAGGCACTGTTTGTTTCATAACTAAAAAAACCCTTTTCTAAAAAATAGATCAGTACCGTGTATAACTTGTGTACTTTAAATTAGTAGAAAAAAATGAGAATGGGACTTTTTTAATTAATGTAATTTTAGTTCGCGAAGTTGGTACAATACGAAATAAGTTTACAGTGAGCACTTTCCTTCTGGAATATATAAGACATGAACGTTTGATGAAAATATAAAATGTGTTCTTTTCTTATTTTAACAGAAAAACAGAATAATTTCTGTTATAGGAACGTCCAAATAGTGTCAGAGTAGAATAAACTGTAAAAGAAAAGTATATGTATAGGTTGAGAAAAGAATAATCTTTTGACACATAGCGGTTAATTGTGTTTGAAGAAGTAATCAAACCAATTAGAAAAGAAAATAAAGTTCCTGTATAACTTATCTTGCGGAGAAAAACGTCGGTTATTCAAATCTGTATAGAATGCTCATTCATCTCATCCAGACACAGGAAAAATGACACATTTCAGAATTCGACTATACACCATAACCCAACTTTTTGTGATAACCGAGAAAACTTTTTCTACAATATTTACCTGTTCTCAGTTTGCCAAAAAATTCACCATAAGCGAAGATTACTCGACATATGTCTGATGGAAAATCCCAGAAATCCGGTCTCTGAAGATCTATCGGTCAAAATAATTGTTATATTCGGAATCAGCATCCCTGATTACCTCTGACCCACTAGGTTTTAGCCCGAAAGCGATTTGCAACCTGGGGAGGTTCCCTGGTAATTGACGTTATTAGCTCAGTGGATGGAATTATGTAATGGTGATTTTACCAAAAACGAAAAGATCCACCAGTTCAGATGTCGGTTCTACACGATAGCGATAGGAATTCCATACCCTACTACGACCATCCATGCCACGTGCCGCGACCGTCCATTCTCGGTTCTGTGTTCCTGGAAAAATAAACAAAGCTTTCGATGCCTTACTCCTTTCCTACTGTATATCGATCGAAAGTTCATAATAATAATGTTTTATTTTTACTGTCTCTGTTTGCCGCAGGTGTGTTAAGTAATATTCAATGGAATAGTGGCTCATACACAGGCTGGAATACAAATTCCAACACCCCACCGACAATCGTCACATTGGGCAACAATTTACACATCTTTTTTCAAGACACGAATGGTAACGGCCTTCAACATATTATATCATCGGATGCCGGTACCACATGGCAGCAAGCTAATCCATTTCATCCTCCATTTACACTGAGTTCGGCTCCGTGTGCTTTAGTTTATAATGAGCAAATACATGTTCTGTTTCGAGATGGGAATGGCAACGGAATTCTCCATGCATATTCAACAGACGGCTCTACATTCATAGGCGATACACCATTTTACATTGGTCAGAACTGTGACGGACAACCGCAAATAGCATCGTCATCATTAACAAACGGCATTGTCGTTCTCGCTGCCGTCGACCATGCCGGCAATGGAATAGTGAGATCAACAACAAATCCCTTACTGATGGCCAGCAGCTATTAGACAGATACATGCTCTCTCTCTCGCTTATGATTAACCGTTCTTTTCTTGTATTGGTATTCTTCTTTATTTAATTTAATACATACTGTATTCAGACGTAATATTTCCTTTTTTCTATTTTCCTTTGAAATTTTTTCTTTCGACAGTTTTAGTTTTCAGCTAAATTCAGTACATTCCATATGTTCAGTTTGAAAACTATAATTTGATTATATGATCATTCTCCCTGATTATGTTTTTCTTCTTCTTCTACGAAACTACACATTTTAACTGTAAAAGAACAGTTTAGATGAATGTGATGTAACTAGGATGACCCTCTCACTTGTTAGCAGGAACTGCACCACGTAGACATTTATGTTTTTGATCGTTCATTTTTCAAGATGGTGACTTTTGTCTGTGAAGTACAGTCTGCTTAAACCTATTGCCAACGCATTCTAGAAATGAATGTCTTCCATGATTTTTGTTTTGTAAAGTTGAAGTGTCCGGACAAAGAATGGAATACCCTTACTGGTGCACAAGAATATTTCGCACTTGCTATTAAACTGGCATACGACATGACAAGAAACAATGAGCTGTTTCCACCAAGAATCTTCTCTTTCCTTGGTTTATATGGCACATTATATATATCTATTAAATTGAGGGTGGGTAACCACTCCCGGTTTTTCTCATAACTTTATATAGCGCATCAAACTGTGTATATAATTACATGTATCTCAAGAAAACACGTGATTAAAAATTCGGACGATTCCTTTGCAAGTTAAAGTGATGATTTGTAGATCAGCGAGCTAGAAATTTTGAAAAAAAGACTCCGCCCACGTCCGCGTGGATGCTCAGAACAAACTTCCTGCGAAACTTCCTTGCAATTTCGGGACTTTCGGAACTCTTGCCTTTTTTGCCGTTAGATCAAGCCAACACTGCAGTGTCAGTGCACTGACGATAAATATTGCACTTTGAAGAAGCTTGTAAACGATCATTTACAATTTCTAAGTGTTATTGGACGAAAAATATTCCAAGTTCACCCTATTTGGAGTGAACTTAGAATCACATAGTATCGCATAGGATGAATTTAGAATTCAAGCCGATTTAACTGAGAACCGTATTTTCAAATCGATCCGATCCGTAAGGAATTTCAAAGTGTTCCTTAGTTCAAAGTTGTCCTAAATCATTCGAACAAATTTCATAGAGTATTTGTAAAATCCTTTCACCTCACAAGAAGTTTCTTTGGAGGAAATAAGGTTAAAAGTAATTTGAAAATCACAGTTTTTTATCAATTCCCTCAGTTTAAAACGTTTTTCTGACACTCCGATCAGTACTCAGTAACACAGATACATAAAATAGAAAGGTATTACGAAAACGATTATATATTTATTTCTTATAATAGAAAATGAAGAAAAGTCTAGTTTTTCATTGTCACAGTTATCATGTTTTTTCCAAATGGAAAGAACTAGTGATTGGGTGAAATACCATGAAACGGAAGAAACGACCGAATTGCGTCATTTTCTCTTCTTTTTGGTATGGCTATACGAATTATATCTTTTCTTTCATTCGTGACTGAGGTGAAGTATACCTTATTTCGTAATTTAGTACAGCAAACAAAGTACAATTACGCATTTCTTATAGGCATTAGAGAATTTCCCTTTTCTTCTTTCGTTTGTGGCGTACCTGTTTCGGCGCATCTCTAGAATGAACGAGAAAGATTGTCATCCTTCAGACGTCTTTTTCTTCGGTCTGAGTTATGTAACATATATGAAATACAAGGTTACTAATTTCTCTATACTTTTCGATCCCAAAACTTCATTTCATCATTGCACTTTTCCATCTCAGTTTTCGAGTTAATTCTAGATATGCTGAAGTCGTGCCTTTTCGGTGAATGAGGAAACGTGTACCTCATCTTAGAATTCCAGTAACCCCATTTCTAATCACTCTAATTTTTCCTTGAAAGAAAAATATTTCTCTTGCACTTTTGCATGTTTTCGATATCTTCTGAAAGTATTCTAAGCCTCTATCGAATGGTATATAATTATTAGTAACATATGTTTTTTCTACTTCTAAATATCTTTTAAAATGATTGTATTGAGATCAATCTGCAGATGGAGGAAAAGTCAAACTTTTCACTACATCATTGATCACATCACCAATAAGCGAACTGAGAGTGGCGTTGACACTGTTGTTCACTTTCATACAAAAAGTATTGAACAGCATTGTTTGCCGGATTTTTCTAATAAATGGTTCCTATACTTTCTATAATTCCGATACATTCTGAAGTTCCCATACCTCTTATACTCCCAACATCCTATCCTTGCTATAGTTGGCAATCTTCGCATGGTTCTTGATGTTCTTAAGAGATACATCCTATCCTTCTCAGTGTTCTAATTCCGTGGCGATATCGTCTACAAGCGAATTAGCACTCACATTGACAATGTTCCTCGCTTTAATCATCCTACAGTAGCTATAATCCGCATACTTCCTATAGTTCGTGATGTTCCTGTAGTTCCTTATGTATCTATGGTTCCTCATGTACTTATACTTCCTGTACTTCTGATACATCCTATAATCGTAATGTTGGTATAGTTTTTATTCTTTGTTTCACTTGACACCACTAGATATTCTGAAGCGATATCTTTTGGTGAAAATTTCAGAGTGACGAAAAGTTTCCCTCATTTTAGAATCCAAGTAACATCATTTCTAATCGATCTAATTTTTTTCTTCAATGCAAAGTACTTCTCTCATAACTTTTTATTAAATCATTTAACAATAATCTTCTCGAAGTATTTTTAACCCTACATCGAATAGTATATAATTGTTAGTGAAATATGTTTAACTATTAAAATGATTAAATTGTAATCAGCATGCACATGGTGGAAAAGTCAAACTTGGCACTTCATCATTGGCTGCATCATCTATAAACAAATTAACAGTCACGTTGATAATGTTTTTCCCTTTTATACGAAAACTATTCAAGAGTATTGGTAGGCGGATTTTTGTAATAAACGGTTCCTGTAGTTGTCATAGTTTTTAAAGTTCGTAATGTTCCGATCGTTTTTATTCTTGGTTTGTGAAATTCAAGTTCCTAATTTTTCCGTACTTCGCGACCGGAAAACTTCATTTGACATAAACTGCATTTTTCCATCTTGATTTTTCAATTATATATAGGTATTCCGAAACAGTATCTTTTGCCAGAAATCTCAGAATGAGGAAGCATCTTTCCCATCTTAGAATTCAAGTAACATCATTTCTAATCTAATTTTTCCTTGAACGAAAAGTTTTTATTAAATCATTTGATAACCATGTTTTGTATATCTTCTCAATGTATTTTGATCCAAATGGTATATAATTATTAGTGGAATATATCTACCTCTTAAAATGATTGAATTGTAATTAGCAGCTCGATGGTTAAAAAGTCAAACTTGACACTGTATCCGTATAAGCGAATTAAGAGTCACGTTGATAATGTTCTTCTCTTTTATGCAAACCATTGATTAGTATTGGTTAGCGGATTTTTGTGTGATAATCGATGATGCGGCCTTCCTCTACTTCGGATGCCACCTATGATTTTTACAGCGCCCATTGCTGATGTACTTCGTATACTTGCTTTGATTCCTAATGCCTCTACACTTCCTAATCTTTGTATGGTGCCTGAGGTTCTTGTACTTCCAATACATCCTGAACCTCCTTTAGCTCCCAATGTTCGTACCGTGTTTATTATTTGGTTGTGCAACTGAAATAATTTTTTCATCCTTTTCGACCGCAAAATTTCACGTGACATCAGTCGACTTTTCTATCTTTGTTTTTGAATTAAATATGGATATCTTGTAGCAGTACCATTTGGTAAAACTTTTAGAGAGTCAAACGTCTTCGACTTCGTTTAGAATTTAAGTAAGACCATTTCTAATCAATCTAATTTTCCTTGAACGGAAAGTTCTGTTGTATTTTCTTGATAACAATGTTTTCCATATCTTCTGAAAGTATTTTAATCCTCTATCGAATGGTATATAATTGTTAGTAAAATATGTCTAACTGTTAATACGATTGAATTAAAATCAGCACACAGATAGCGGACAGGCCAGACTTGGCACTGCATTCTTGGCCACATCTCCTATAAGTGATGAAATTGTTATAGACTTTGGAGGTGTCGATTCGTCTTTCTAGGCCTTCTAATGTGCAGTACAAGCAGCTCGATTGGTGTTATCTCATCGCCTCACACTTTGCCTGTTCTAGCTACAATAATGCTAAGTCAACCGGTGCACTCTATGAACTTGTACTCCTCAAATAAATGACTTCTGTGCAGGAGAAAAAAGTAATATAGTACTGTGGTAGTCGAAAACGCAAGAAATAGAAAAACGGTTGAATTTTCTGTTTAGAGTTAATAGAATTGAAATAACTTTTTGATGACTGTAATAACAATGCGTCAAACCAACCTTCTTACTAATACGAGCTAGCCGATCAGAATCAGAATATTTTCGAGTTTTCACATTATGATCGACCTTATCAATACAGCCATGTGACTTTCTCTGAGAGGATGTTTTGTTCAGGAAATAGTGTCTTTGTTTCCTCCTTTCGAACCTACCCCTTGTGCGTTGATAATGAATCAAAATATTAATTAAAAACACGGTTATATACTCCATAAAAATGACGATGTATAGTACCACTTTACTGTTTATTCTTTTAATGTATTTGTGGAACTATCAACACAATAATTTAGATTCCGAAAACTTTGGCTTTTACCATTGATGACGAACCATATAACCAAGATGACGCAAGTAGATATGACACATTAAGATATACAATGAACTTTCTTTGTTCCATAGGATAATAAAGCATTCCATATCATTGAACAGTTAAACTTTAACTGTTCAATGATATGTAGCAAATGGTGTGACAATTACTGATGAACAGCAAAAGGCCATGGGACGAGCTCGTGCTTATGTAGTTCATTTAGATGAACAAAACGGAAGTGAGTAATTATGAAAGTACTTAATATTTGATACAAACAATTCTTTTCTTATATGTGACTTAAACAGAATATTCTTTTTTTTCTTTTTAAGTGTATGATTCCAGCGGATATGATTGTGAAGGATACAATAAGAATGATCGTGATCATCAGGGCTTCGACCGCAACGGATACAATGAAGCTGGTTATAATAAAGATGGTTATAATCGTGAAGGTTTCGACAGTAGCGGATACAATGAAGCGGGTTATAGTAACGCTGGTTATGATCGTCAAGGTTACGATAAAAATGGTTATAATAGCGACGGTTATGATCATCAAGGTTATAATATGGCTGGCTATAATAAAGATAGTTATGATCGTCAAGGTTGTGTACGTACACAATACTATTGTCCAACGCGTTAATTGAAATCCACATTCTAATACAATTAGCCATCTTGACCAACTTTTTTGTGTTCAAATCCGCTTTTGGAGGTCTGTAGAAGTTCTTTTTTAAAAACTGCATGTTTTTCAATTGATCCACTCTTTTTCCCGATTTAAATAAACGAGTCACTCTTTTACTCCACAGAAAATATTAGAAAAACAACACTGTTTATTATGGTTCGATTACCTCAGTGAATATAGTAGTTGCGAAAATTGAAATAAAATTATAAGACAGAGGGGAGTAGAGTTATATAATCGTATAACTTTTAATTGGTTGATTCTCATTGTTAATGAACTAAAGTTCATAAGAAAAGTCTCCATGTATTTAACTGGATTGGCTCTTATATTCTCTATCGTTATAAGTGAGTGTGGAGGAAAAAATAGTCAATCGAAACTGCCCAATTCTTGTTTGAATATATCGGAAAATCTAACATGGCTTTTCAGAAAATGTTTACATCAATGTATAGACAATCGTCGGCTCATATCAATTTTTTTCCGTGGGAGACAAACGAGAAATAGTGCAATTACGAAGAAAATTTCACGAACTAAATTATAGAGAAAATGAACAGATATGGGGAGACGAGAGAATATGTGTCTGATGTATGCATGATGAGTGCAAACTATTGATCAAAGTGCTCAGTAGGTTTGATGAAATTAATAACTGCTCGATAGATTACGGAAAATTCATTGTGTCAAAGATTCTTTCAACGCAAGTAATTTTATATTTCGATTCTACATGGCATTGAATCAATAATTTGTTTAAGATAGTAGTGCAACAAAAAGTATAATGATGACATATAAGAAACAAGTGCTCTACTCTTTCTGGCACACCGTATGAACAAAAGTTATTTAACACCACAGTTTCACGAAATAAATGAGCATTTAAATTTGAAAAACCTATCTTAATCGGTAATATAATGTGATCATACTTTCTATCCGCTCTACATTCCAAAATCATTTAATTTATTATAAATTGCACTTAACTTCTTTTTAAATGAAATTATCTTAGTACTAATTCTTAATTCATCAGGTAAGTTGTTTCATTCCACGACAAAATGAGAAAAAGATGACATTTCACGTTTTTTCGGCCCCGCGAATGTTACTGATTTATTAGAAATTTTAGAACGAAGTGCATGAGTATTGTTCTCACGGTAAGTTATATTGTTATGTAGATATGACGGTACTAGGGCGCTTATTATTTTAAAATCTTGAATCAGTACATTATTAGTCATAATTACAAAATGTAAAGTCAATCTAAGAAGACTAGAAAGATGTTTACAACTAGAAACTAAGCATATCCAGTTCGTAGTCCGCAAAAAACGACTTCTCACAATTCCTATATTCTGGAGAATCGTTTCCATTATTTCGGTATTTATTCATTCTTAAAACTGTGGCTGAGTGCCATAATCGTTCTACTGTTCATTGTCTACGTGTAAAAAGATAACTTTTTTCTTTCATTTTGTTCATCTACCTACCTTAAGCATACTACCCTGTCAGAAATCAACCTTATGTCTACTATAGTTTACCAGATTTAACTTGGATTTTGACACTCTTTCGTCTCTGGCGTCACCTACTAAGAAAAAACAGATTTATTTCTATATATCTGGTCATTCAACAGGTATTAACTGTTTTCCATTTTGTAACCTACACCTTTCTCTAGAATCCTGCGTTATTTCATTGCAGACAGAGGTAAAATTTCAATTCGAAATTGCTGATCTTTGCTCTATCAAACAAACACTTTGAAATTCATATTCGATGCGATTTCAGGCGTGTAATCTCGAGTTAAGGAAAAACCTGAGAATGATTGTTAATAAGTAGAATCGATACAGGTTGACTGCGTAACAAGTTGATAAGCAAATAAAATTTTTTGTACAGAAAATTCTATTATACTGCTGGATATAGTCTTGTTTCATCAAAAACTCACTATTCGTTCAATCAAGATCAAACTTTGACTATCTTTAGACCGCATGACATTTGATGTCTAGTAAAAAAGTGAACCAGAAACACCCAGATCGCAGGAAATGAGATATGTATGGCTCATTTATGCTATTAAGTGAAAATGATCATATTAGGCATCTAGCAAAATTGGCGATATCTCTTTTCGCACATGCACGAAATCCGATACAGTAATGTACTAATAATGTACTGAAAACATTGAAACTGAAGCGTTTATTGTATAATAAAAACGAGAATACAGATCAAATTTCTATGTGCATTTCATGGTAATTGATTCTAATAAAACTCTAATTCCTTTTTATAGATCAAAGTCAGATGAGGAACGAAAGCCTTCGGTTCTCCTGGCCTCCCGGACGGGAATAAGAAAATAAATTCTTCAGAATTTCGAATTCGATTAGCTTTAAGTACGCAATATCTTGAAGTTTTCCTGATTCTTAAGAAAAAATGCTTTTTTTCTGTTTTTGAATGTACAAAATGATATGAAAAGCGTTACAATCGATTGACTTTTCTAGAAGCGAAACGAACAGGTCGATTCTTTCCGATTAGAAATGCGAACGAATTTATCCGTTGCTATTTGTATCTCTTGGCTTACGAGGGAACTTCCCCAAGTATATCAGCGTTTTTTCCTCGAAACATAGATGATTATATGTAATTTTTTATGCTAATTCACGAGCATGATATCCATTCGTGTCAATATTGACTTTTAGAGTAGATGTCTGGAAAACCGATCTCTGAAGACCTACCTCAAAATCCAAGGTGAAGAGATTTTGATTTGTTAATTTGGTAGAACATGTCGAGTTACCTGTATGAAACTAGTACGAGACCTAAAGATTGAGTTAAAGCAATTTTACATCTCAACTTTAAGTGAGAGGACTTTTAGAATTTGCTTTTGTTAGAGTAAAAATTGCAGTTCTGACTTAAACTTCGTCTTGATAATGAAGAAAGCGCTATATCATTTTGTTCTAAAGCTGGGACCAGACAGGCCGATTTATTCTTAAAGAATTATCAGTTTATCAGTAACAAAATCTCTTCACCTTGGATTTTGAGGTAGGTCTTCAGAGATCGGTTTTCCAGACATCCACTTTAAAAGTCAATATTGACACGAATGGATATCATGCTCGTGAATCAGCATAAAAAATTACATATAATCATCTATGTTTCGAGGAAAAAACGCTGATACACTTGGGGAGGTTCCCTCTTTAGTTGTTTTCAACTGACTAAAACTTTTTTTCAAAATTTTTTGGGTCAGAGATGAAGAACGCGATTTTCACAAAGTCACAGAAAGTGTGGAAAAAACTGATAATTCTTTAAGAATAAATCGACCTGTTTGATCCCAGCTTTAGAACAAAATGACATAGCTTTCTTCTTCATTTTCAAGACGAATTTTAAGTCAGTTCGGCAATTTGCACTCTAACAAAAGCAAATTCTAAAAGTCTACCTACGTCATTTTCTACATATTGTTGTTGTCTTTTGTACTGGAAAAGTTTAGATATGACAGCGAGTGAACATAGTTTCAGGACTCTGCTAGTCTTAGTCAGTTCTAGTCGGTTCTGCAGCATTTCAAGAAAACATTTTGGAAAATCGTGTCATCTGAACCAAAGTCTATAATTTCCTTTTTATTTTTATTAACGTCGGATAAAAAAGCTTGAATACTCAATAAATCTGTCAGTGTCTCTGAAAAATTACGAAACGACTAAGAACGTGGAGCAAAAAACGCTTTTTGTTTCAAATGTCACCGTGTGGTAAAGACTGAAAAAAAGGATACGTCACTTAGAAAAAAACAGACTTCTTTTGGGCTCTTTTTTGCGACCGTCGCCGTGGAACGCAAAAAATTATTGACTAAACAAACAGTTCATATCGCTTCAAAGTAAGGTGTACTTCTACTCTCGAAAGTGATGAGTATCTTGCTGTTACAGTTTAGTATTACAGAAGAAACAAAAGTTCCAGTTTCATAGTTTTTAGCGGCTTTTTTATAAAGGTATCACATTTTGTGCCGATGTGATACTTTGATGTCGAACTTTGATTTATGGTTGTGTTCTCTATTTACATGTAATCATGAACGAATTAAAAAGCGTGAAATGCCATGTAGATCGTATCCTATGTCTATGCATTAGAGAGAGCTTCTCTTTTTCTGCTAAAAAAGTGCAAAAAGTCGAAGAAAAAGGACACCAACATATGTAACGGGTGGGACACAAGAATGGTGGTCTTAGTACTTCTCGTTTATCGCTTTCAGTTTTCATTGGCGAGATTTGAACTCCTTTTTAAAAGATTTGTCGTTTCATTCTCCACAAAAAAAACATATTGAACATTTTTTATATACCGTAAAAATAAAAGAATATAGGTGTAATACTGCGAAGCTTCAATTTCAATTGATTTCAAACCCAAAACACAACAAAAATATGTTTATTTCAAGCATGATACTAGGCATAAAAGTGGAATCAAAACGTATGTTCTGCTGCCTCGAAGTGTCGTCTTTCTTTTCATGTATTAGAGTTTGGTGTTAAACGTATATTTCTGATACAAACGGCTATTTTACTGCAGTCTACCACAAAAAAGGAAAGTTGCCACCTTTTCGCCTTGTCACGGGAAAGAAAATAGAGCTATCAAACCTCCTCTGTTCGGATGTAACCCAAGAATTATTTTTCTTTAAGATTAGACAAACCAGGCCTCAAAATATTGAATTTTGGCCGATTCATAAAAATTTTCCCAAATGCCACCGAAACTACAGTTTGCAAATGGGGATTTTTGATAAAAGCGATTTGGCAAAAAACTTCTCCCACAACCAATTGCCATTATGAAGAGTTCTAAACACAGCCAATTGATTGAGCTTTTCAAGGGCTATAAAACGGGCCTCTTCTCTTATTCTGCATCACAAAATACAAAGAATTAGGACTGAAAAACTGTTTGTGGGGTGTGACAGCAATGGAGGATACGGTGAATATAGCACTGCAAATACAGTTGTAAAACAGCACGAAGAAAAAGAAAAAGATAAAGGCACAAAGCCTAAAAGGCAGCTACAGAAGAGA